TTATATATTATATATTATATATTATATATTATATATTATATATTATATTATACATTATAATCTTTCGCAAGACTACACTATGATAAGAGAATGAATTTTGATTTGAAAATTAAACAATGTTTTCTATAATTGTTTATAGATTTACTCTAAATTCAAAATGAATAAATATTACGCTTTATCTTATTTGTTTTGAGATTCATTCGTCCAAACGTGATAAGATCCTCCAAACATTTTTATTTTTAATTATATCGAATTCTTCTGGCCATGCGAAACATTAACACTTTACATTAAACAGCTATTGTTTCGTTATTTATACAATATCTACGAACCCAGAATCTATATATTGAATATAATTAATTAATCATTACGTTATCGAAATATCATTAATCGTATGTATATTATAATCGATAATGTAATTGTAATAAATATATAATTTTAAAATTTATTACAATTACAAATTAATTTATTACATTATTGAAACATAGGTATTAAAAAAATTACAAATATTTAGATTATTTCCTTTAAATAAATATTAATTATGTTTTATACAACACTATAATATGAAATTCTATAGCATAATACTGTATCTATAAAAAAAATTCTATTAAACCGAACATTATATTTTGTATCTAAAGAAAATTGACAAATATTTTTTTACATAGTTGGATAAATAAAAGTTAAGTTAAATATAAAAATTAATTTATAAATATTATTACTTTAGATAATGCCAAATAATACATAATTTTCAACATACACATACGCATATCCTATCCAATAAGTCAAATCAGTAAAGTAACTAAACAAATTTGGCAAACTTTAGATATTAATAGTTACTACTAATTTGTGTTCTAGGGATATTTTGTACCATTGTATATATATATACTGCTGAATAGGTATACTATTGAATACATTGAATCATTGTTAAATAATGAATCTTTAATTTAATAAATATATATGCTCAATTTTACTTGAAATTTCACTTAATTTAAATATTTTACATACGTTCATCTAGACTAAATATACATGAGATCTTCTAATTAATCTTCATGAAAATTCTTGCCATGACATATCAAGATTGTGAATTGTGATTTGTCGAAATATTATAATATAATTTTGAAAATATGTGATTACAAGTAGTTTGAAAATAATTCAATGTTTAGAATTTATAAGCAAAACCTATCTTACATTAATGAGTGAATTAAAAAAAGTATTGCAGTATAATTGCATTTAAAATCAAAAATTAAAATTTGAATCTAGCTTAAGTAGGTAAGATATTTATATATAAATTAGTAATGTATATGTTATTGATAATAATTATTAATAATTAGCATAACGATTATTAATAATATATTAATAATAAAAATCAAAAATAGAGGAATTAATTATAGTTATATCATTGATAAAAGAAATAAAATCATTTAACTAAAAATTCTGTTTATATACTATATTTTAATACTATCAATAAATAATAATAGTTTTTTTTAAGAGTAATATCAAATTATTTCTATTGTTTGTTTATGTTAAAGCAGAGATAATGCAGAGATCTATTAGACTGAAACGTGAATTTGAAAGACTTAATCAAAATCCTGTCGAAGGCATTTCTTGTTATCCAAAATCTGATAATTTTGAAAACCTTGTCGCAATGATTATTGGACCAAATGGAAGCCCATATAGTGGGTATCTTTTTCAATTGTCGATAGATATATCTGAGCAATATCCATTTGAACCTCCAAGGATTACATTTCAAACACCTATTTATCATCCAAATATTGATGATAAAGGCAGAATTTGTATGGATCTCTTAAGCATGCCACCTAAAGGCAGTTGGAATCCTACTATTGGAATAAAGAATCTTTTGGATGCTGTACAGTGCTTATTAGGAAATCCAAATCCTGATGATCCTTTAATGGCAGACATAGCGCAAGAATATAAATTTAATAGGCAAAAGTTTGAAAGAAAGGCAAAACAATTTATGGAACAAGGAAAAAACAAACTTTCATAATCAATTGTATGTATATATTTATTTGCATTTTTCAAAATAATTTAAATAAATAATTAATGGAACGTGTTTGAAATGTATATCTTTCTTCATTTACTTTTTATACATTTAATATAAAGTATTTAATATAACTTCCATATTAATGATATTGTTTATTATTTATATTAAATTATATTTAGAATTTTCACATTTATTTTTCTAAACCCTCTGAAAAAGTATATGTATAATAGATCATAATTTATAATTAGTGAATAAATATAGCTTGCAAATCACAATATTTTTTGCTTGTGAAATTCTATGTTAAAACATATTAACAAAACATAATTTAAAAGTCTTTAATACTGAATAATAGTCTTGCAAAACTAAATCTGACTAAAGCAAACTTCACAAGCAGATCTGCAGAATTAATAATGCAAATAGAATTAACAAGAACATACAAATAAATTGACAAACACTATTTTCATATTATCTAAAATTTTGATCACATATAACCTTAAGTTCACATGTTATATACCATTGAATTTATTTTTTTAAGTTGTACCTACATAAAAAAAAAAACATTTAGTAACGGCTTGATTTAAGCTGAGTAATGTTTGTGTAATTATTATCCCTTTTTTTTTTCTTCGCCATTTGTTCGGCTTTGCCGTTTAGTTTTTACTAAACGCAACATAACCTTACTTAGAATGAAAATATATTAATCAGTTGACATCTACTTTTATAGATTAATTCCTCTTTGAAATATTTTTTTACTAATGGTACTAAATATTTTATAAATATTGATAGTACTAAATTAGTTTCAAAGATACATTAAAATATATTTCATTAGAAAATGCTTTTCAAAAAAGCAATATTTTATTAACATTTCTTTATTCATAGTTTTTATATATTTTTTTTATAATTTCTACAATTTAAAAAATATACATGTATATATATAAAATAAAATAAATGTATATATATTGAATTGTATATATTTCTATATTTTTTATAATTTAAAGAATGATCCAAATTATAGAAAATTTAATTTAAGAATTATATAAAAGTCATACTTGTTAATGAAAAAAAATATAAATAAAATTATCTATAACATATTTTATACAACCAATGAAATTTTTTACAGCACGCTCTCTTTTGCAAAAGAGTATAACTATTTTACTAGAGATGTCCAGAACGCCCTCTAGAAAGAAATAGGCGTAGCTATTTCTTCAATAAATGTCGTTGAGTGGGTCTTCTCGTTTCGTCGGCGGAACATATATCAATTTGCGAATCAATAGTTTGTACATCCAAGTAGTAGTAATCTATATATATACATATATATGAGTACGTACAAAGAGAAATCAAAACAAATATAACTTAAAAGAAACAAATTAAATTAAAAAAGATTGAGATTTTTTAGAAGATGCGGGACTTGAGTGTCCGATTCGGTCTCTATGGAGTTTCTTTTATCTCGTGGAGAAATTCCGGAAGTTAAGTGAAGAAAGAAGAAAGTCGCCATTTTGTGCTCATTCAGAAGGATAAAAGACTTCGTGAATGACGGCTTGATTCAAGCTGAGTAATCTTTGTGTAATTATTGTTCCTTTGTTTTTTTCTTCGCCATTTGTTCGGCTCTGCCGTGTTAAACAGCGTTGATGATTGGGATTCCGCGTGACGATCGACATAAGATCACGGTAAAAATCCGCAACAATATGAAAAGGAGCTCCAGTCGTGATACCCCTCCGCGCGTCAAAAGAAGTAGATCATCAATGGGACGGTAAACATTTTTCTTCGTGTATCAAATTCTATTTCAAAGAAATTATGTCAACTATAATCTCATCCTACAGTTTTTATTACTTACTGTTTATATATATCATATAATATTTCTTAGAAATTTTTATATATGGAATATATATATATATATA